TATGTTTATTAATGCGGGTTGAAAGCACGGTTAAAAAGTGGACGATAAAATTTGTGTTTCGATGCTTTCAGAGTGCTCGTGAATTTATTATCGCTTTTAAAAATCAAAAGGAAATATTGCGTAACGCAAGCGTTTTATCTCGTTTGGAATTTCAAGCGAGCGTAGATTATTTAATTACTTAATCGTTCCTACTGCAAAATCCTCTTTTTTCCGATTACCCTTTCGTTTATCATTTTTTTCGAAACTGTAATTATTTAAATCAATGAAATATAAAACTTCACACAATTTATTTTTAATGTAACAGCAATTTAATATTGGAAACAAATTCACAATAATAAAATTATTTTAAGCTTTTAAATTAAGCAGAGATTAATTATAATGAAATTCTAAAAAAATAAAATAAAATAATAAATTACTTAATTAATGATTAATTATGAATATTTTATTAAACTCGTGTAAATCAAATTTTCGTTTACTTTGATAAAATTTAATTTCTTAATAAATCTTCTATGGATCAAATATTTATGAAATCTGATTCACGATCTTTATCTTGTTTCAACTGTAAAATCAAATTAAATTAATCAGATAAGGTCATCATTTTAAGGAATACGTGGATAGATAGGTGGAATGCTATTGTCGTGTACGCGTCAATCAAATTTAAAACTGAATAATGTGTGTCGGATGCAGTTCGTTCACTTGAACACGACTCATCCATCCGGTCTTAATTAACCTAACTGTCTGTGATATCCACTTGTATCCGGTTAAATGATCGTGATTGCCAAATTCGTCGTAGGATTGCATCGAGTCATTCGTGTTAAACCAGTCACATTCCACATGGTGGACGATTAACATTGCTGTCATAATAGCTATTAAAATCAGCCATTAAAATAGCTTTTGAAATCAAGTTTTACTACATCTATAGTTCTATCATAAATAAAGGAAAATTTATTACTAATGAATATTAATTTCTCATTTTACATTAACCTTCAAATAGTAATAATTTAAATATAATTTTAGGCACTGATTGATTTTTATTTTAATTTGATTATTATTTGCCAATATAGGAAACACTTCTTTTGAAGAATTTGTTTGGGTAAAGGATGACCCAGTTCTGAATTAACCGTTTCATTTATACTAATGAATATGAGTCAATTTATACCCTTTGCAATAACATAAAAATTTTTTAATAAACATACAAATACAAGTGCTAAAAAAAGATGGAAAAAGAAATGAAATAGTGATGAGTTTTTGATTCTCCATATTTGTTTATTCCTAAAAATGTACTGATATCGTGAAATGTACTGATATTAACTTCAATAACTAGAAATATGAAACGAACGTTTCATATTTTTTCATTAGTATTCGCTGGTTTTTCCCATTTTCGAGGTAAATATATTTCAAATTTGTGAGTGATAGGAATTTCAAATTATTAGTGTAACTTTAATGGCATGTAATTAAAATTTTCTTACATGGCAAAATTTATTATTTAATTCACTAGACGATGAATTAAATAAAAATCAGAAAACTTATAAATTTTCATATAATCAAATTTAAATTTATGTACCATGTACATTTCATAATTATACAGACTTAATCGTTGATAATTAATTCGAAAGTTTATAACATTAAAATATCGTATTTATTATTTTTCTTTTCACGTAGCTTCAGGTACATTTAATTTTGAAGTTGGTTTTTAATACCACCCACATGTATGTAAATGATATGGCAAGCAACGTATTAAAATATGCAAACTAGTTTTGATCTCAATGCCACTTTTTCCTAGCATCCCCCTCGAAAATATTCTGGGAAGTGTCACTAATGCGTGGATCATGAAAGAAGCGACAGAAATTTTTCGAGCAGGTCCCTTTTTCTTTTTTTTTTTTAATTTCGCACGCTCTCGTGTGAGATATGCAGTAGGTTCTTGCATAACTAATTTGAGAAAATAGACCTACAAATCCTGCGAACCGTTATGCTGCACAATTTCAACAAGCACCGGAGATCAACAGAGTTATATGGAAATATTAATGCTAGGAAATCATTGAAACTTCTGATAAAATAACAACAATTACTTACTTCCTGTAGAAACTTTAAAAAATTAATTTTTAAATAATTTAATTGAAATGAAATATTGATTTATTTTACTTTGCTTTTAATACCTTAAATTGAATCTTTAAACAAATTTTGTATATTTTTAATTTAAATTTAAAAAAAATGATAAACGGAACCGATTTCCCATTTATCAAAGTCTGAACGTGACGTTTCAATCGGAATCGAAAGAAAGAATTCGAAAATTTCTAGCTTTTCGATCGAAAGTTGGAGCTTTCTTGAAGGGAAAGCACCAAATTGAAGGTGCTAAAGTAAAGCTGTGTAGAAATTGTTGGTTTCAAAAATAGCGAAAGAGTCACGTTCTCATCACGAACGCCACCCACGTCCCTGTTCTTAACGCTTCGTCGACTACACGTTTTCACTTTCTCGTGGCAGCGTTAACTAAAGAAAATTTTCGAATTACTTACTTCAAGAAACTTTACCCGCAACGTTTTCACAAATATTGCTTTCGTGGAAATCACTGTGGTCTTCCTATGAAAAATAATCAACCTAATTCATTAATTTCATTATAAAATTTAATCCATTCCCTTTACTGCAATTAGAAAATTATGTCATAGAATTATTTATTTGTTTATCTAGAATTAATGTGCCATAACGTTATTTATTTATTAATGGAATCATCTGAGCTAAATGTGCAATTTAAGTAGTACAAGTCAATGCATAGCGTTACATATTGTAACAGTACCAGTAATAAGTTTCTACAAAAATAATATTTCAAATCATTAAAGCGTAATTAAAATTTTTAAAGACATTATTTGTGATGTTAAAATTCCATATATAAAATATACATGGAAAGAAAGCATAAAATTATTATAATATTTTCATAACTATAACGTCTTGTATTGTAATAAAAAATATTGCAAATATTATAGTATTGTAAATAATAATGTAAATACAAAAATAATTTAGCTGATTTTACTGCAGAAATTACAATAGCAGTCATTTAAAGCTAATACTAGTGATACAGGTCAACCATTAGGCGTACAAGTTAGTGGCTATTGATACAACTGTGAATAGGGTGCATATTAGAATGCACCTAGTATGAAGAACATAAATTTTGCTAAATACACATAAGTACTGCTTATAATCAAGCAAATCGAAGCAAACGAAGTGATGATAACGTGTGTGCATGTATCAAACGCGAATCTGTATAAATTCACAGGTCACAGGTGTTTGTGCGAAACACGAACGCGAACGTTAAAAGGTTAAATCGAATTCTTTAGTTGGTATTCAGCAGAGCGACGGTCTAGAAAAACGCATTTCAAGTTTCATAGTGGAATGGATTCCATTATATTATTTGTCGCAACAGCATCTAAATGCGCAGAACGGTTTATCAATGAAAATTGTCACTTTGACAAATTCATAGAAAATAGAGGCTTTCATTGTTAAATATCGTTAGCTTATTTAAACATGCATATTAATTTTAAAATAGAGTATAAAAATGTCAATTTAAGATTATTTCTTTTTAAGGGAATCGATTGGTCTTTCTGAAAATGTACAAGTACCTGGAGGATTGAATCCATAGGAGAGTGGATTTTACTGTTACACTAAAGAAGATGCTAAAAAACGGTTAAAGAGATGCATTAGAGAATGGTAATTTATATGTTAATGAAAGGAAATCAGGAATTCCGCGGCTAGCGAGAGTTTTGTTGAAAAATAAAACCACTTAACGTATCTAAAACGAGTTTCATCCTAAAAGCAAGAACTCGGTGAATCTCAGTTTACTGTAAAAATAGTTTCTATTTTTAATAATAATAATTATTGTACCAATATGATATTTTATTATTTAAAATTAACGTACTTGTCCATATGAAATCACTAAAATATTATATTTCCTTCTTTCACAGAGAACATTCACCATCCCCATAGAATAACATTTACCCTTTCCATACATTGCAATAAGGATTTGAAGAAATCACTGAAAGGAACGCATCAGAACAGTTACAGGATACGTTCCTCTGAAAGGTAGTTGAAATCACGATGAAGAATCAATGAACCTTCAAATTCAACTCCATTTCACCACCTCCATAAAGCGGCATCTATCCCTGCCACATATTACAATAAGAATCTGAACAAACCATCAAAACGTACTCAAAATTGCAATGAAGAATCAATGAACCTTCAAATTCAATTCCATTTGAAAAATTTTCATTTGACACTAAAATAAAAAAAAGCTATATGATATAATATTTCGGTACGTTATTTTCAATACCATTTATTCGAAAATGTAGAAATAGCAATTTTTAAAAATTGATAATTTTTTATTGCAAATCTGACAAAAGGAGTAGCTTTCTTTTCGTGTTACAATGAAAAAGTTAATTGACGGACAATTTCCATCATAAAACATCATTTTTTCCTCTACTTTTGACCACCACTGTACATTCCCATCACCAACAGTCTGAATCACGCCGAATGCTCAATGAACCTTGAAATTCACCTTCTCCGCGAAGGAACTTAACATTCACGCAGTCTGTCCGGCATGTGCCGTACATCCCGGTCGAGTGGTATGGGAAGGATATCGATATTGAAACGTAAAAAAAGATTCAATCAGTCGCGAAGTTTCATCGCCAATCAATCACCCCTTACCCCCCATGGAAAAGCTAGCAGCCGGGTGGCATCGAAGCTTTAGGACGCGGAAAGCTCTGTCGCGCGCGCAGCCCGCACTGGCACGGCCGATCGCCGCGACGACGACGACGCTAAAATGGCCGAAGGGGCAAAACGGGGCGACCATAAGAGAGGGGAGGGCAGGGGGCAAGGAAGAGTACGAGGCGACATAGGAGGGTGGGAAACAGGGGGGAGGGGGTGTCGAACGGGTAGGGAGGAACGAGCTTTCGGGTTGCAACGACCGAGTCGACGCACTGGAAGCTCTGCGTGCTTGCGGCGGGAGCCTCAGTAGCCGCTTGTACGTCGACCGGAAGAGCTCTTCTTCGCGTCACGTCGTCCGGAGGACGCGCAGCGCGCCATCGACCCATAGATCGAAACCGTTTCCGTTTCCCTCCGTCTGTATGTGAGTGTCCGTGTGAATTTTTTTTTTTTTTCCATCGCGCAAGTTCGTCCGGAAAATTTGTCGTTCGAGTGTTAATTGGTTAATGGATTACCAACGAACCATCAGTTAAGACAGGAAGTGACGGGAGATGAACATCGAGCTGTGATCTGTGAATGTGCGATCGAAAGGACAGAAACGTGGACGTCATGAGAGGTGTCACAAGATATCGGGGAACCCAACTTACCCCGTCCGCGACCCTTTTCGTCATCCTCGCCGTTTTTGTGAGCGGTAAGAAATCGCCGCCCCGCGCGGCGCCGTGTTTTACCCTCATACTCTGAGATATACATTTTTCAACCCCTGCTTAAGAAACGACATGTGTCGACGCCGAGACGTCGATTCTCTTCGGGACGGGGGGGAGGGGGATGTACGAACGTGAATGAAACCTCGGAGGAAAGGTTGCTACTTTGAAATTGTTGATGACTAGGAGAGGGATTGTTCTTCGAGTGCGAACAAGGTTTGGAATCCGGCATTGTTTATGGAGATGGATATCTCGTGGAAAGAGCATCCCTGTGTTTACGTTCTTCTTGAATTAAAATTGAATTCGAGAGATTCATTTGTCAGTGATTTAGGGAATGGATGTTTTATGGATATTGAAAATGTTAATCAAGTGGTTCGTTCGGATTTTGATGAAATTTTGATGAAATTTTGATGAGGTGTTGCAGTAGGAGGAATATTGGATACCTCGTTTTCGATATTTTTTTGTGTTGATTAAAGCCAGGAAAGGTTATTGATGTTGCGAACTTTGATCTGTGGGATTCATTTATCAGTGATCTAGAAAATGAATATTTAAAAAAAATAAGTAGTCCATTAAGTGAACCTAATCAAGTGGTGGTCCATCCCGATTTCATGGAATTTTAATAAAATTTAGCAGTCAAAGAAATGTGTTTCACACAACTTTCTCTTGTCTTCTAATGCTTAGACCAAGGGGATGAAAGTAACCCTCAAAGTTAGGGGATAACAAAGTGATTGATAACTGATCAAAATTCGCTATCTCGTGTACTTCATCCTAAGTTCAATTTTCGCAAGAAAATACTCTACCACTTCGTTGCAGTAGTCAGAGTCATCGAAAGGTCCGACTGAAAAGTTGGCTTAATTCAATTTCCACTCTCTAATCTAAAAGGACCATTGTTTTCTATAATAGAACCATTGCTTTCTGGGATCTATTTTCAAATCTAAAGAAATAGAATTTCATGCTATAATTCGGGATTTAAAGTAACTTTCACAGGAGGATAATAAAATTAAAAGATTGTGAATAATCCGACGTGGAAGAGGAAGCTCCGTTCGGGAACAGTGCGGTGGTTGATAATTTATCGAATTTGTTCCCGCAAGTATGAAAATATTTAAAATATAAAACTTCATATTTTTAAAATATGAAATACGCGACGATAGTGAAACTGGAATTTCACAACCCCTGTTGCGATAAAAATATTGAAATTTAATTTAAAATGAAAGTGCTTCGATAAAGAATGGAAAATTATTGGAGTTTCTAAACAAATTAAAATTCCTATAATTTTGGACATTTGGATGAGGTGTTGAGATATTTAATTTCGCTGATTTAAATTTAAATTATTTCTCATCTTGCACGCAATTTCGCTTCTCGATTCAAAAATTCCTCGCATTTATTTCGCGCGCTTTTCGCAAGCGGAAGACCGACGGCATCCCCATCGATTTCCAAAGCAGTTCATCATCGCGGGAAGGTATCGAGGCAGAAGTTTTCAGAGTAGAAAAATCGGTGCCAGAGTGGTGTATAACCGTGTTTCGCCTCGAGTGTACACGTAACTCCGGAGATTCAGGTGAAATGGAAACAATGGAGACGCAGAAATATCTTGGCGCATTATTTGATTTCGCGAAAGCTTACGTGTACCAACGGAACTTGAAGCCGCGCCCGTCAGATGTCCGTAGTTTCCGGAGGAAAGGATCACGGAGATGAAGAACAGAGGGGTTTCTATTTCGAGTTCGACGGCACGTCGCGATTCCGTTCTTTCGCGTCCGACCGGCGAAATAGGATTAAAATGGTTTTTGCCCCACGATATCGAGACGAGAATTCTGGCCTGAGGGAAAAACGAATCACGTACCACTCATACGTGGTTAGATTCCAACGCGACAAAAAGCTTCCAACTTATTTTCAACATCGCGAAAGGGATGCCAGATCGAATTTTTTTTTGTAGAAATGATCGACGCTTCTAAAGGTTGTTGCTTTATTAAATTTATTTGGGAAAATCTGAAGAGATTGAGCTGTACCATACGATACGAAAATTAGGAAATCGAAAATTTAAATATTCTTTGATATGGAAAACCTCTGAGGGGTTGTTTTTGAAGAATTTGTTAAGGTAGTGGTGAATCCATTGGGGAATATTATTTATCATGATTTAGAATATAGAGTGCACAACAAGATTCTAATTTATTTTCAATATCATCAAAGGGATGCTAGATTTTTTTCAATCCCTTTTCGAAGGGATCTCTGCTTTGTTAAATTGATTTGTGGAAATTTGAAAAAATTGGATCATGTTAAAATTAGGAAATGGAAAGCTTAGATATTCTTTGATATGGAAAAGCTCTGAGGGGTTGTTTTGAAGAGTTTCCAACTGACTATCAATTTTTGCAAATTCAAAGGAATGATATTTTATACCATGATTTGAGGCATAAAGTAACTTTTATGTAATGATGTTGAAATTGAAGAATAACTTACACAGTTTCTCGACCGACGGAAATCTCACTGGTTAGTTTTAATTTATTTCCGCGAACTTTTACGTTCAATTAATAGAATTAAGCAGCGAACGACAGGATAGGTCGTGCGAACGAAATTATCTTTCTCGATCGAAGTATACAAGCAAATTTGTTTATTAGTCTGAAATTAATTTACGAGACCTGGTTCAAAGACTTCCTTTGCTAATTTATACTTCGTCCTTTGAACAGGAAGTCACACCTTCCTAACTTTCCCAATTTTCTGATGAATTTTTAGCGACGTCAATGCTGCTGCTACTTTATAAATTATTTACCGAATGTTGAAAAGATTATTAATTATGAATTATAAAGTACATAGAACAAAAAGAAAGTCATTTTAAAATTCTTTTAAACTGAACATAGCTAAAGCAAAAGTAACTTAAATGAATTTTATTTTATTTGTTTATTTCATTGAACAATATTTATTTATTCATATAGACAAGTTAATAAAATATTGCTGAAACAGGTTTGTAAACATACAGCAGATGTTACCAAAGCATCGTCAAATTAACCCGTCACTCTGAAATGCAAGTATAACGTTTGATAAACACCGAACGCTAATCGATAAATCAATCGAGCTACGATGAAACAATAATCGAATCGGATAGGATAGGAAGAGAGGTGCGAAATTACTCGCCACTGTGAGAAGACGTCGTTAATGAAAGTCTCGATAAAAATACGAAGAACCGTTTTAAAAATAACGTTGCTCGCTGCTTGGGAAAACGTTCTGGAGCAACGTGAGGTGTGAAAAAAGGAGTAATCTCATGATTGTCGTTTCAAGAAGATAGAAGAAATGGTAACTGAACTGGATAAAAGAAAAAGAAATCTAGGATTCAAGTAAAGAAACTTATTTAATTTATATTTATGTTGTTGATTTTATTATTCTTTCATTAATTCATGCAAGTGAATTTTTATTGTGATTAAGGAATTTTTCTATTTGTAATTTTTTCATTTCTAGTTTTCCCGTTCATAATTTTTTTATTCCTAAGTTTCCTATTTTTTAATTTTCTTAATTTCTTCCTATTTCTTAATTGGATTTGCAATTAAAAAAAAGCTCAATCTTATAGTGTATTTTTATAAAAATTAAATCTAAGTGCAAGTGATCACCACAGTGTAAAAAGTGTAAAAGTGCAAAAAATATCCTGCCACGATAAAGAAAAGGATTTCTATGAATTATCTAGAATAATTACTGTCATCATTATCACAGCAGCATGCAATTGATGGGACGCTTCGAGTATAGGTTTCGACGCTTTATCAAGGGAGGATCAAAGAAACAAAGCTCGTCCAGGAATGAAGAGAGTCGTCGTGTTTCGTGCTTTGAAGAAAAACACGATCGAGTTTCGAAGATACAAACGTGGCCAGGAACAAAAGTCACGCTTCAATCTGTCAGTGAGGATAAAAAAAATGATTCTTCTTTGTGGTGCGTACCCATGAAGAGTGTCACGCGTCCTGACAGAATCCTCGTGGAACAGAAGCAAAACGAGACAAGATGAATCGAGCTCGCAAAGAGAATGAAAAGTTTGAAGGGGGACTGTGAATTGTTTAATCGACGTTGAAGAACTTGGTTGATTTGATGCTCAGTGAATAAAGTGTTAAACCAACTGGGTCAGGAGAAAATTCACTACTGGATATTTATGTTGAATTTACATTTAAGAAAGTGTTTATTATCAGAGGTCTCTTATATAATTGAAAAAAATATCATCAGTGAAATTTTATAAATCGTCTATTATAAAATAGTAACAAAGTTTTGAACAAAAAAAAAAACATAATAAAATTCCGGAAATAAATTTAATATAAAGAAGAGAAATTTAAAAATATTCTAACAATAGGCAGCATTAATGTTAGACTTATTAAAGATAGAAAATTAATTAAATAATTCATTTGTATTCAAACTTGAAGCAATCGTATATTGAATAGTCTAAAAAAAACACTCCAATTTTTTCTAATAAGCAAGATAAAATAAAAATAAGTTCAATCGAAGAAGTATAAGAAGCTTTAGAAGGGATGGAACCAATCTAATCACAGGAAGAGGAAAAAGTCTGGTTAATTCGTTTCACATTACATTAGCACAGTGCATCGACACTTAGCAAAGATTGGAAAAGTATCGAGACTTGGGAAAGTACGTATCTTCTTCATCAACTATTTATGACAAACTATTCGAAGCACGAATACTCGTATTTCGTCACGCGATAATTTTCATTATCTCATTCCTCAATAGAATCACTTCTTTCATAGAACAATCTCAATTAACGTTAGAATCCCTCACTGACTATCACGAAAATTTAATTGCATAATTCGTGGGATATTAGTGTCAGTTTCTTAAATCCATCAGATAACTATGTCAATGAAGTACAATCTTATTAAAAAGATCATCGTGCTTAGTGAGTCGCAAAGAAGTTCTCCTTTATCTTGACAAAAGGATCAGTGGAAAATGAATGAAACGATCCAGTTAAGAACTCGTATTTCACACCTCTTTAATCGTTCCTTACCCTACTCTACTGACT